TCTGGGATATTGCATGAGCTGGATTGGTGGCCATGTTGTCAAACTATGTTGAACATGGCTCGTTCAGTAAGAAGTAATTATTTTTGAGCTTGGAACAATTTGAACTGGTTCCTTATTGGGCTTCCATCGGGCATCTACAATCCATCTGAACTGATTCCAAATGACTTCTTTTTCTGTCTTTTTTTTTCTTTATTTCATATATAACATTTGTTGAAAGTTCTGAACTTCTTGATTTCAAGCTGAACATGAATTTTGATTTTGTTTCAAGCAGTTCAGAAATTTACCCAGGTTCCGAATGAATATTTCCTAATTTTTTCCTTCCTGGGGTCTCTAAGAACTTGATTACTATATGAGGAAAGGGAAGATTGGTATGTAATAGCCAATCATGTAAAAAAGGGGGTATTTTTCAATTCATATTACTTTAATTAGTTGTATTTTATAATGGGAACAAAATAAAAGCACCCCATTTGGTTCACTCAAACAACATATTCCCTTTTCACCTACATCAAAATAGTTATTACTTTAACAGAATTGGGCAAAATGACCATAATGCAACTGCTGATGAATAAAAATAAATTATAGGAATAAAAGCATAATATTTTTTTCAAAAAATTACAAGAGTGTCTCATGTCTCAAAACGCTTAGCAAAAATTTGACTTTTGCTTAATGGAAAACATTTTGGATTTTATTTTTGGTGGTTCTAATAGTGCCACACCACNAGCCCTAATTGCAGTGATGAGATTCTTAATAGGCCTAGCTTACTCAGTCTTTTGTCAAATCGTGCAGTGGACTAGTGCACACCCGTGGCATAGGTCTAAAGCAAGGAGAAGATACGCTTCATGTTTTGAACAGAAGACATTCTATATAACCATGTATGCTTCAATTGACTCTCTAATTCACAAAAATACTAAGTTTAGAAAAATATCCCCATTGCCCAATCCCCATCACTGTTGAATTAAGAAATCCCCAAGTGTAACTCAAAATCCCCGTTCTGCATCCATTCTGTATCCTTACTGAATCAGATATCCCCAAGTGTAACTTCATCAGAAATCCCCAAGTGTAACTGCATCCTTACTGCATCAAAAATCCCCAACTATAACTGCATCCTTTGATTGTGCCCAATTCCAAGCTATAGGGAACTCACAAGCAATCTTTTCATCAATAAGACAGGTTGATTGCATTTATAAACTTCAAAGTTTTTGTAAGCAACCGGATGTAATGAATAACTGGATCATGATACCCATAGTTTAGATACAACATTCAATGAATTGATGATGGGCCTTCTTAGCTGGTGACTGAAGGGCTTAAATGGTGACTGAAAGGCATGTAACCAAGGGCGGAGGGACAAAGGGACCAAGGGGGCACATGCCCACGTTGAAAATAAAAATAAAAATTTGTACCTTTGTTTATTTATTATTTTTTATTGGATAGTTGGAATTAGGCCCACCCTCTTGACCAAATATCAAAAATATTAAACTCACTCTAATAAGTTTGAACCAACTAAATCTTCTACAAAAAAATAATCGGGCACATTTTTCACTCAAAGAAATGTGAAAATATGTTAAAAAGTTCCGACTAGTGATTGAGCCTATTTTTTTTTTTTGATAACTATCAATCTTATATTATTCATAATTATTTGAAATTGCTATAGTTTTTTAAAATTGATGCTGGTTAATTGTTTCAGAATCTGGTCATGTAGAGTTATACTGACCTTTTTGAATCCTAACTCTTGATCCAAATAGTTTAACTAAACAACATTTACTTGTAAATTTTAACACGGTATCAACTATTCCAGAGATAACATAAATCATAGTCCGACCCCGGAACTTTTAATTGTATTGCATCGTTCTCCATCTTAGTAAAAAAATGGCTCGAAGAACTTTAGAAATGAGTTATTCTTAACCCCAACAATCTTCAAGTTGTCTGCATTGGGTGTATGGTTACGGGTGTGAATGAAAACCATTCATGTTGCTATCTGGTCCTTTATAATAATAATGAAGTGTTGTTATATTTTGGTATGTATCTTTCAAGATACCGATAGTTTAGATACAACATGCAATAAATTGATGATGAGACCTTCTTAGCTGGTGATTGAAGGACATGTACCAAGGGCGGAGAGACATAGGGAACCAGGGGCACATGCCCACCCTGAAAAAAAAATTTTAATTTGTACCTTTGTATATTTATGATTTTTTATTGAGTGGTTGGAATTAGGCCTACCCTCATAACCAAAAACCAAAAATATTGAACCCACTCTAATAAGTTTGAACCAACTAAATCTTGTGCAAAAAAATAATCGGGCACATTTTTCACTCAAAAAAATGTTAAAATATGTTAAAAAGTTTCGACTAGTGATTGAGCCTATTTTTTTTGATAACTCTTAGTCTTATATTATTCATAATTATTTGAAACTGCTATAATTTTTAAAAATTGAGGTAAACTTAGCCTGAAATTGATTACTATTAATTTAATTACTTATATAGAGAAAGATATTTTTGATAACATTATTAATTTGTATATGGTTGTAATTAGCCTCATTTTTTGTAAAGGGTTATAATTAGCCTATTTCTATTGAGAATTGTTTGCATAGACTACGTATATTGGTGTTTGACCCTTTTGTATTTAAGGAATCTTAAAATATGCAACACGATGTAAAAAAAAAAAAACATATACCACAATACTTTTATTGATTGAAGAAAAAAATTAAATTTTGCTGGTTAAGGAGGCCCACCCAATAATACATTTCTGGCTTCTCCCATGACACGAGACATAATTCAGCTGTAATAAATATTGCGGAGGAACATGTCCAAGAGGAATGATTATAAAATTAAATATTTTTTTCTTTAATTTTCTCTTGGAGTTACGTCGAGCAAATTTATGATTTTTGGGAGTTATATGTGTGGTGAATTTAGTTGGAAGAAAAAGAGAGATATCATACCAAAAATTATCACTTTTTAAGATCAAAATATATTTTTTAAAAGTGAAGGTACAATTACTTAAAGTAATCATAACCGATCAAGATCTTTTTTTGTTTTTATTTTTTAGTTCAACGATTAAGGGGTTTGAGTTAATNTTTTAAGATCAAAATATATTTTTTAAAAGTGAAGGTACAATTACTTAAAGTAATCATAACCGATCAAGATTTTTTTTTGTTTTTTATTTTTTAGTTCAACGATTAAGGGGTTCGAGTTAGTTACTTGCACTTCAAATAATCACCTACTCAGTCTAGTCAAAGGGAGACCATTCATGCCGGACTAAGGTATTCACTAGGGATAAAATCTTCATAGTCTGGTCCCAAGAGATTGTCAAGATTTGAACTCAAGACATCTAAATGTACTGCTCGTCCTAGTGCCACTTGAGATATTGAGGATCAACTGAAAGAGTTTTCTCATTTTTTGATTTGCCAAGATTGCATGCTAGCGTATTTTCCTGGAAAATGTGTTCATTTAGCTGGTGCANAGGGATAAAATCTTCATAGTCTGGTCCCAAGAGATTGTCAAGATTTGAACTCAAGAAATCTAAATGTACTGCTCGTCCTAGTACCACTTGAGATATTGAGGATCAACCGAAAGAGTTTTCTCATTTTTTGATTTGCCAAGATTGCATGCTAGCGTATTTTCCTGGAAAATGTGTTCATTTAGCTGGTGAAGAAATATGCATATTCAACGCTTTTATTATTGAATGTAAACCTAGTAATTTTCTTCATTTTGGACCCATTCAATTTTTATTTTTCTTGACAAACTCTCCGACAATATTCAAAGCCCTTCCATCAATCTTATATCATGAAAAATTCAAGTCATACATTTAGATGACAGTTATTTTGTTCTGGGTACTTTAATTGTGTATTCTAATTTTTTTCCTTCTAAACAATCACACTATATAATATATTTATATTTATTATATTATATTTGATATATGAAGTCTATTTAACATAAAAAATTCCAAAAAAAAAATTATATTACTAGGGGACGAGCCATGAATATCTATGATGGAGGCAAAATATAATTGATATAATAAAATATTTAGCCAAAATTAATACAAAAAAATTCAATTCAAGAATAAAAAAAAAGTAAGAATCAACATTAAATTATTGTGAAATAGTAAATTCAATTTTTATTTAGCCGAAACAAAATCTTAACAAAAAAACACAAAATAATTTTTTTAATACATTTTAACATAATTATATATTTCAATAAAATATAAAATTTTTTAAAATCTCTAAAATTTGGCATATGAATTAAATGTAAATTAGTTTTTCACTAACTTTCTATCAATGCGCACAATCACAAGTACGTAGTAAAATTATTCTTTATTTAGTTACAAAATTTAGTTGAGATCATTATCAATCTAATAGAAAAATTTCTTATTCAAAATAGTTTGAAATATTTTTTGGTTACAACCTTTTATTTTTTGTATACAATCGTATTTTATTAAGTTATAGACTACTATTACTAAAAAAATGGTAAATGAAAAATAAAAATTATTCTTAAAAAGTAACAAAGATTGTGTTAGATAAAGAGAAATATTGTATTTTTGTCAATATACAAATAGAACATTGACTCAATCCAAAACTAACATATTTATTTTAGAGGTTTAGTGGTCCACTAATTTAATTTAAAAAAAAATTAGAACCAGTATTAAAATTTCTAAAAATTTAGGGGGTAAATATAATGTATAAAATAATTTTATAGGTTGATACAGGGAAGGATAGAAAAACTCAAGAAACTGAAGGAATTGAGCTTCTCATGTGTTGAGTTTATCTCTGTTTCTTTTCTTTTTCTTGTGGCTGGGCAGTGGGCAGTGGACAACTGAGAGTGAGTGAGACAGAGAGAAAAAAAAAGAAAAAAAAGATAAGATATGTTTTAGTCAAGTGGGTCATAAGTTAATTTTTAATGATGGGTGGACCAAAAGTTTTATTTTTAATGTTGGAAAACTATATATGTATAAATATATAATACATATCCTAACAAATAAATTTTTTTTTTTTTAGGTGGGGCACGTGCCCACCCTGGCCCTGCCTCCCTCCGCCTATGAGATGATTTGATGTGTATAAATACAGCATCTCTTTGCGTTTATTTATTCACCATACTTTTACTTCATTATTTGCTTAATCATCCAACAAGATAAACTTTAGAACTTTGATTTTCAAAATCGTTTCTAGATCCTATTCACCACCAATGGCAGTTCCAGTGCTTTTCTTCCTCACTTTGGCCACCCTCTTCCTCTCTGGGGCTCATTCGGCTACATTCACAATCACAAATAACTGTCCAAACACAATATGGCCGGCGACACTGACCGGCGGTGGCGGCGCTCAATTATCTACCACCGGGTTTGAGTTAGCTTCGGGAGCATCATCACCTATCAACGTCTCAGCTCCTTGGTCAGGCCGGTTCTGGGCCCGAAGTTTCTGCTCCACTGACTCCACTGGAAAATTCACCTGTCGAACTGCAGACTGTGGCTCCGGTCAAATAGCTTGCAACGGTGCCGGAGCAATACCGCCGGCGAGCCTAGTAGAGTTCACTCTTGCCGCCGCAGGTGGACAAGATTTCTACGACGTCAGCCTCGTAGATGGGTTCAACTTGCCTGTTTCGGTGACTCCACAAGGTGGCTCAGGTGGCTGTAATTCGACGGCTTGCCCGGTCGATGTGAACGCATATTGTCCGCCGGAGCTGGCTGTGAGGTATGAAAATGGGGCTGTGATTGCTTGCAAGAGTGCATGTTTGGCTTTCAATCAGCCGCAGTATTGCTGCACCGGCATGTTTCGGTCGCCCGAGACTTGCCCGCCGTCGGAGTATTCCAAGTTTTTCAAGAGCAAATGCCCACAGGCTTATAGTTATGCATATGATGATAAAACTAGCACTTTAACTTGTACTGGTGGAGCTAATTACTTTGTAACGTTCTGTCCATGAGACATAAAATGGGGAGAAGAAGCATGCAGTTTTACTAACTAGTGTTAGTGGTAGTACCACGTATGCTTGGTTTGAGTTAGTGGTGGTTTGTTTGTTACTTGCTGTTAATTTTATTTCCATAGGTGCATGTTTACCATTTCCTTTCGGCTAGGATTCACGATATTAGGAATTCTGTGTTTTATGAGGCTATTTAATAGCCATGTTTATCTAATAGTAAACTGGTGGTTTTTTCCGTCAATTTATCTTGCTTCCTTATTGTTTCTTGACAGCTAGGAAGGAAATAATTTTTTTTTTAAGATAGGACAACTAGTATTGTAAGCACAAATTTTATTTAATGGAATGTTTATTTAAAAAAAAAAACNAAAACCCTTCCATCAATCTTATAAAATGAAAAATTCAAGTCATACAATTAGATGACTTGATGTGTATAAATATAGCATCTATTTGCATTTATTTATTCACCATACTTTTATTTCATTCTTTGCTTAAGCATCCAACAAGAGGAAAGCTCTAAGTATTGTTTTAGCAATTGTGGCAATTGTTTTCCTTCTAAGCATCAAACCATATCAAGCCTACAGATTGCTAGATGGAGAAGAAAGAGACTGGTTGAAAAACAAAACTGTCGTGGTACAGTCTCTGCAGTCTGGAGGATCAAATGGGTGCAGTGGTATCCCTAAGCCTGGTCCTCCTTGTCATCTCAATAATAAGAACTTTGCACTTCACGTCACGTCTCCTCCTCCTCCGGCATACACACACCTCATAGTTCCAAGTGGTGCAACCACTAGTCATAAATGAAGGCCGAGGGTGACCCTTAGCAACATCACAATACTTTAGAAGTTAGAACATTAAATGTAACTTGTGAGTTGAAAAAAAGCATACCAAACTTTTTTTTTTATTTACATATTTTTATACTTAATTTGTGTGTATTGCATATATTAGGATGATAGATTGACAAAAAGAGAATAAGAGGATGCTCCTTTGTAATTTGTATACTTATGAAGGACAAATAAAAAGCTTAAAGTGAACAGTAAGTCTTTGCTCATATTGTTGCTTACAAATATTATTTTTGTGTTATTTGGTGACTAATAAAGATAAATTTTTCATTGCTGATAAATTACAAAGTTTGAATTTGTGAAAAGGCTGCCATTGGGATGCTGGTTATCCCAAAAAACATAATTTAAAGGATCATTTTAAAAATAATGATAATTACCTTGAGATGCAGGAAGAAGTACTAAATGATCAGTAGACATAGAGCATTAGAAAGCCTTGTTTACACCCATTTCGGCCTGGTGAATTAGCAAAAGAGTTAACAGTTCATAATCACACACACACACACACACATATATATAATTCAGGTAAATTTGAACTTTTTCTAAAAAAAGGTAAAATGATAATTTATTACTATAATGTGAATTTAAAATCAATATTTCTCTAGAGCTCGGATGACGAAATGGACTTCATCGTTGGATTCGTCTCATGAAATCTAATTATCATGTCAATTTTCATCGAATTACTAGATGGTGAATGACTTCACCAATGTCCCCATAAATGAAAATTATAAAATTTACTTATAATTGAATTAAAGTTAAAAAAAATTAATTTAAACTTAAACCGAGATAAAATAAATCGTTTCGAGACCAAAAACAGATCCGAAAATTGGAAATAATACGGTGTAACGTGGACCGCACATTTGAGACTATAAATATCAACTAAAATCAGATTTTTTTGAGGAAAATATCTCCTCATATCAGCTAGTCTCACACGTTGGAAGAGGAGAAGAGAAAAATCAAAATCCAAGACTTCTCCTTGCGATTTTTGGAGTTCTGTCGGTCAGAATCATTCAGATCAAGAATTAAAGTCGATCATATCGACGAGGGTTATGCGTACGTACCAAGAACGACGAATTTCACCGAAGATCCAAAGAGGAGATTTTAGAAAAATCAAGTCTTGGGGCTTGGGAGTTGTTCTTGAGGCTTCTCTCCCTTTCGTTTTACACTTCAAGAGGTAGGATTTTTCATATTTTGATTTATTTCTTGCCTGTGGTGTCCATAGGGAAGGGTTGAATGAGTCTTGACTTACCTATGATTATGGAAATGAGAAAACGGGAATAGAAATGGGTAGAATACATTTTATTTTGGAATTAGGTATGTAAAAATTACCTATTGTGATATTTAAGTTATGTGATAAAAAGTGGGCATGTTGTGCTTTTATATAAATTGTGCCTTGTATGAGTATTTGATAAATGTCTTGAATGATTGAAGTTGTCATTTTGATGAAATGGGAATAACATGTTTGGATGTTATGGTATGTTGAAATCATATGTTTATGATGTGATTTATATTTGGAAATGTAAGTGTTGAAATGTGATAGAAATAATCCATGTAGCATTCATTACATATGGGTATGATATGGTTATTGAAATTTCTTATTTGATATTCATTGCATATTGGACATGAAGTTAACATCACATTCATGGGCTTTAGGCATGAGTGTGGGTGTGTATGCATTTTTTAACCAAACACCACACCTGGTGATTGATATGTGGACTCGGTAAGGTTGGATCCAAGATCCCGTAGAGTCGCATGAGAAAAAACTTGTGTCAGGTATAGAAAGAAGGGCTAGACTCTCCCTCATGTGCAAAACCCGGCTACTTGGTACATACATTCCCCTGTCGGTGAAATTCCAGAAAAGTGTAATGATGTACAGAGTCAAAGGTGTGATTCCTGAATCCGATACTCAACAAAGACACAAGATTTTGTTTTATAAAATATTCATTTGATGAGAAATATCCAACAATGAATTGGTTTTATAAACACATGACTTTTGATTCAAAGTGATCATTGGATGTATTTCACCAATGACAAATGTTTTACACACATGCATTACATTGTGTTGTGGGAGTCAGTGAGAACTCGAGTTAAGATGCATGGGTGAGTCTCATCTCATTGCATAGCATGACAAGGTAGAATTCCAATATAGAAATGTATTTTCTTGGTTGGAATGTAATGTGATGGTTGATGGTTACATATAAATATTGCATATGCACTTAAGTGGAGAGTAGCCTCTATAGAAAATATTCTACTGAGCGTAGCTCACCTTTTACTGCATGTGTGTAAAACATTTTAGGTGCAAAAAACACACCGGTGGAAGACTCCTAATTCGAGCTCCATGGATGAAGAAAGCCGGAATATAGTTTTTGTTTTGAAATTTTGTAAAACTTTTGTTAAAACTACGTTTTGACATATAAATGTATGAAATCACATGTGATAGAACTTGTGTGGATCATGTATAATGTATAAAACTCCATTATGCATGTTTTGGATGAAAAAGAGATGGTTTGAAATGGATTGGACATGAAAAATAGGTGAAACTGACAAAATTGGGCAAAGCATACCGGTATGATATACCGGTACAGAGAGGTCCAGTAGGTTCAGCTTACCGGTATGGCGTACCAGTACGGAGAGGTCCAGTAGGCAAATCATACCGGTATGTCGTACTGGTACGCTTTCTTAAATTTTGATATTTTAAAACTAAAGTGCTAGGCTTTTGGACTTTGATTTCTTTGGTTTCAATGATACAAATGAACAGTAAATGAGGTATATTGAGGCACATTGGACCTCGATTGGATTAAATGGTTAAACGAACACGAGTTACACATGTGAGTTATAATCCCGGTTAAAAGGATACGATTAGGGTTGTCAAAATTCGACACGACCCGATTAACTCACACGAATTAAGGGGGTTTGAGTGAGATCTTAATAGGTTTTGGTTGTAAATGGGTTGACACGCCAAACACGTTTAATAAATGGGTCGTATTCGGGTAAGACATGTCAAACCGTTTATTACACGTTTACCCGTTTAAATAAAATTAATATAATAATAAATTAATAATTATTTTAAAAAATTAGCAAGAAAAAAACAAGTAATAGTTTAAAGACAAATGAGAGGAAATGAGGAGCACTTCAAAGACAAAGGCAAACCAATGTCTTTTGTTTTTGTCTCACATTGAAAAATGAGGGGAGATGAGCAGGGTTGAGTTGCCTATAAAAAACAATGACCTCTTACTTTTTTTTTAAAGCCTTCAAGTCTTATTTTTATGAGATTTGACTAAAAATTCCTCTTTTTTGAGGTAAGTGCAATTGACAATAAAAAAGTGGAGTATTAAAATTTGTTGATATAATTTTTTCAAAATTAAACGGGTTAAACGAGTCATGTCGTGTTACTTGTTTATTAAACGGGTCGTGTTCGTGTTGAGATTTTTTACCCGTTTATTAAACATGTCGTATACGAGTTTATATATTTTTCACCTGTCACCCGTTTAACCCGACACGTAACAGTTTAACCTGACACGTTTGACACTCCTAGATACGATTGACATGATGTCGGGTCGTGCGACAAGCACGGTTATTTTCGCGGGTTGATGAGTGGTCAACGGTTTAAAAAGGACTTCCGGTTTTAGGGGCGTCATAATATATATATATATATATATATATTTGTGTGTGTGTGTGTGCACCAAAAATTGTGAAAAATGGTCTTACAAAGGATCAATTGTGAAAAAAATTCTATTTCCAATTTCAAATCCTTGCCTTGAAGCTAATCATATCTCAAATCAAGGTCAAAATATTTGGTCAGCAAATAAAACTTTAGAACCAAACAACTACTAAAATAAAATCCGATGATGGTGCATGAAAATAGTGAGTGATAGGGTTTTGTGCACAGGACAATTGTGTGTGTCGGTTGTGAAATCTACCAGGGTAAAAAAAAATAGATAAGAGTGAATGTTTCACCAAACTGAATAGTTAGGCTAGTCCATTGTCAATAGAATCTCTTGCTCCGGTGTTCATTGTATTGCTTTGAAGAGGTAGAAGAGAGTAATTATAGAGAGTGAGGATCGATCCCATTACCGTAGGGCATCCCCTTCTATTTATATAAGGTTGATTTTTGTTTTCTTCCTTGAGGGTGTGGCCTCATCGATCTGTTAGAATTATTGAGGAATATTTGGCCGTTAGGGACATTCATATCTGTACGACATGTGGGATTTTAGAAGCACTAAGATGACATACTTGAGGCAGTATCCTGCTACCCAAGATAGGGTTTTATGTCGAGCTCTTCCTCTTCTCATAGTAGCTAAGTGCGAGTTAGCTTCATGGATGTCGAACTGCTCTGATATTGCTTGGTGATTTGGAATGGATTAGTTGACAA